GAAGAAAGAGTTCCACTAATTAGATGAGGCTTCTTAAACACTCACGTTCTCTTTAGCATGCATCCCTATTGTAGATTTTCTCAACCACCTGGTAAGGAAATCAAATCCTTTTGCATGATCCACCGATGTAGAACTTTGTTTTACAGACAAAGGTTAGGTGGGAATTGCCTTATTGAAGGTACCATTGATTGCCTAATGAGAAAATGAATTGTTCACCCCATGCTTAGTTTAATTTGAGCTGGAGAGTTCAGAATGTAGCTCTTGGCCAGTAAAGGAATCAGATTTGCTCTGCTGGTGTAATATTAGAATTAATATATTTTACCATCCAAGTGGGAGTTTTATTTTGTTAACTGTCTTCTCAAATTTTAGAGCTTGTCTGAAATATCTACAGGGAAATCACAAAAGGTCCCAAAGTATCACCAAAAGCTAGGGAATCCCAAAACCTACTTAATTCATGCAATCCCACAATTTAACCCCAGGCAGGAACCTAACAGTGACATTTATTCTCTAGGTTAAGCAATGATTTCCTTCTAGTGCCTTTTTTATTGAGTGTCATGCATGTTTGCATATTGTCAATATCATTTATGTTTGAAATTTTGAACAAAGAACCAATTTTTTAATGTAATGTGCAAAAATAGTTGGTTCAAATTCTGAATTCAGTCTTTGCATTTAAATTCTTTGCTTCGGTTCTGTTTCTGAACATAATGGTATTCCAGCCCCAAGCTAGTTTTTGAAGGTCAGTTTTGAAGTTGAAAGTCTCATGAGAGGTGTTAGAGTTTATATCTAATCAAGAGTCATGATTTCTAACTAATTCTATATATTAAGCACTTAGCATTCTAATTTAATGAGTAAATATGTATTTGGATAATTGCTTACTAAAAACTTTAGAGAAGTATATATAATTATTTGCTTTCTATGTGTCTTATAGCTATTTAGACGAAGCATTGAATGAGCTAAAACAATTGCTTAAGTGGTTAGGAAAGTACATATTTATGCTAGTGTCTGTCACATGAAGTTGAATGTATGGAATACTCAGGAACCGTGACCATTTTTTTTTTTCACAGAAGAGCCACATATTAATCCTGTTAGGCATGAAAAAGTAGCATTGATAACTAAAAACTTTCTATGAGCCTCTCGAAGGGATCCCATTGTTTCTCTCTTTTAAAAGAATATTTTATGCTCCTTAATTCCACTTCTGCCAATGTAATATTCGTATTTTTTTCATGTTACTGAATAAACAGAATTGCTACATAAAATTGTTAGCAATTAAAAAATTCCGGTTTTGCCATTTTGTATCAAATGTAGTATACCTTCTTAATATCATGTTTTGAATTTGTTTGCATATTTAGGAATATGATTAATCATTTTTGTTTGCATTTAAGCTTTACAAAATGTCAGACATGATTTTACTCTAATGAAAAACTCAGATTTTAGCCAAAGGTGCTATATACTTAGTATCGATAAAGAAGTTGACTCTGACTGGTGGGGTGCGCATAGTGACGCAAGTCACGATCCTCCATGCTGCGGATGAGGCCTCTGCTCCTATGCCATTTAATAAAGATGTCCTTCCAAGAGGCTTTTCTCCTCTTAGGATTTCAAGTAAGGAGTTGAATTTCATTAAATCAGTTAAATGCCCTGTGGTTTTATATCATAGTTTGGAAAAAAAAAAGAGCTTACTCTTTGAAATGAGAAATACTAGATCCTAAGACCTGTTAACCATAAAAGTTTCAATCTGAACAGTTCTTTTGAGGGATAATGACATGCCTATAGACCGAGTTGCTTACATTATGTAAGATATTTCATTCTCCTCTGCCATGCTTTTAAAGTTCTGGAAGGCTGAGTGGGATAGCTGGGGGTATACCTATAACGGGCATTTAAAAGAGACCACCTCCCTATTAGAAGACACGAGGTCTGCTCTCTCTGCATGAGGCACAGCAGTGCAGGCATCTGAGTCCCAGGCCCGGGAGCTCTCCCCTGCAGACTGTTGCAAATGCAAGGTGTTTAACTGCTTACAGTTGATCGACACTCCAGGAGAGGGGCATCGACTGTACTGGAACACGTGGGCCTTGTGTATTCGTTTTTATACAGCAATCACTAAAGAGGATAAAAAGATACAGGAAGAAACCCTTCCTAGGAAAGCAGACATGTTTGCAGACTTTTTTTCTGTTCACTTGGATAAACTTTTCAGTTTTCTTGTGAAATTGTTAGACCAGAGTATTAAATCAGTGCAGTGTTGTAGCTTAATAGAGGTGAGGCCCTCACAGAGCTCTCGATGTAGACCCAATAAACACATCACAAACTGGGAAATAGGGTAATGACATGAAGAGCGTTTGCTCTTTTTACCCCATTTGATGAAACTGTTCTCTGTAGGTAATTAATTATACTTTCCCGACAAAATTCTCAGATGTCTACGTAAGGACCAGCACGTTCTCACAAATTGTCTCCATTACATTTTGACGCCCAGCTTGTTATATTTTTTCTAACATGTTAACCACATCATTTTCTTATCATTCTTATGAAATAATCTTTGTACATTACAAAAGATAAAAGTAGAGAAAAGAATAAACAGAAAAAGTCATGTTTACTTCCACTATCCCAAATCAACGATTACTAATCTTTTGACTTATTTTGACATTTTTCCTTGATATTCTTACATTCTGAACTTTACAAGGTACATGGTATTTCATATTCCTGCTCTTTTCACTTGCAATATAACATTTTCCAATGTCGTGAAAATTCTCTGTAAATGTAAATTTTAAAACGTATGCTTAATATTCCTTCAGATAGCTATAACAATATGTGTAATCAGTCTTCTCATAGCAAACGTGTTTGATTTTCATTTTGGGACAATTAAAAATATCTGACTCAATACTCCATAATATTCATAATTACAAATAGTTTGCTAAGGGACTTATTTATACTTTCTGAATTCCAAAATGAAAAATTCACTGAACATTTTATAATTATTAAAATTTGTTTCAAACCTATTACAGGAAAAAATTGATATTATCTTAGATTACATACAGCCTAGTAATTTTAACTTAAGGTAGTGGTCAGCAGGTTCGTGTCTCTTAAAAGTAGACTTCATGGTTTTAAAAATGTTCTCCCTTTGTAAAAGTAACAGACTTATAATTACAACGAGCAATAATAATAAGAGCAATAATAATAGCTGCCAATTTGGTGTGCTTATTATGTATCAGCATTGTTAAGCGATTTACAGGCATCAACTTATTTAAACAGTCAAGCATAGGTATCGTTGCCTCTAGCTTAGTAAACAAAATTTAGAACTAGCCTTAAGTCACTCATTAAGTGGCAGAGCTTGGAATTAAACCTAATTTTGTCTGATTCCAAAGTCCGTGCTTCTAATCGTTTACATAAAGCAACGCAGCTACCTGATCTGTAGAATTGATAGATTTAGCATCAGACATGTGTTTTCCTCCTCGTGGGTCTAGACATCAAATTTCTACCTGCCGTGGAGCGTCCCCTCTGCTGTTCTCCCTGCCTCTTATAAATTCTCTTGCCATACAGAAAGCACAGTGATTGCTTCAAAGCATAAACCGGATATCACTTCTCCAGTTTAATTTTTTTCAAAGGCTATCCAGTGCAATTTGGATAAAATTCCAGATATTCTACAAGGCCCTACGTGGTCTGGCCCTGACCTGCAGTCTAAATTTCAACCGTCTCCAATCTCCTCCCTCACTCAACTCCTACAGCCCAATCTTTGTTTACCTCAAACCCACTAATGCCTCTTCTAGCCCCTTCTTGCAGTGCTGTTCCCTCTGGCTAGAATATTCTTTCCCAAAGATTTTCACCTGGCTTTCTCGTCTTCATTCAGACTTTAAAAAACAAAACAAAAACAAAAAAGCTTCATCGAGATCTGATTCCCATGCCATACAGTTCACTCATTTAAAGTGTACAAGTCACTGCTTTTCTAGCATATTCACAGAGTCATCTAATTTTTTTCATTGTTGACTTCACTCAAATTTTAAATCAAATGTCATTCTACCAGATAAGAAGCCCTCATCATCTAATCACCTAATCAGAAAAGTCCACTCTGTTTCTACAGACAATTCCATTACCCTTTGTTATTGCGTTTAAACTTCTGTGAAACTATTCGTTTATACATTGATTGTCTGTTCTTCCTGGCGCTGAGAAGGTATGCCTGACATATAGTAAACACTTGATATTTGATGAATGAATGAATGATGATAATGTTATCTTTCACTTTCTGTGCCTAGCATTGTATTAGAATAGAGATCATCTTTATGACAAACTTGAAAACCTGAGGTTAGGATCCCTAAAACAAACATAGAAATTAAGACTCAGAGAACTTTCCTCACTTGCTCAGAGTTACATAACCAGTGAGTACCAGGACTGGAATTCAAACCCAAGGCTGTCTGGCTCTAAATGTGGGGAACTGTTGATTAAGCCAAAGCAACTCGAACCCATAAAATAACTAAAGAATTACATGACAGGCCTCAAATTCCAGAAACATGGAAACTAGATAATCTGAGAACCCTCTGGCCACAAAACCCCTAGAATGCTGAACAAAACATCACAAACATACTTGAAATGCATAGC